TTCTGGCAAGCGCACGCACCCTATAGCAAAAACCTCTCCAAAACAAAAATAAAAAAAAAAAGAAAATTAAATAATAGTACTAAAATAAGCACCATGAAATAAATCTAAAAAAAAAAAAAAAAAAAAAAAAAGAAGTAGAGCCTGAAGGTGTACTGAATTCCTGCAACCCATGGTAAAACACAAACAGATGGAATTGCTTCTTATGGATGCGTAAAGAAAGTGGTTTCTTAAGATGATACCTATTTCAGGACCAGCAGTTAGCATAATGGCTATGTTGCTGGGCTCCCATGTAGTCGACTGCGGTTCGAGTCTCGGACTCAGTGGCTTAAACTCACGCCAGGCATGTGTGTGTGTGCCCAAGATCCTGAGAGGAGAATGGAGGAGAAGGGATTGCGGCGTGGCCCTCCCCCGTGGAGGGGTGATTTCTCACTTTCTATCTCTCTGTCTTTCTGGCGAGCGCATGCGCCAACCTATTTCTGGTGAAGATGCTATGAACATGGCTGAAATTACACAAAGGATTGAGGATATTACATAAACTTTACTGATAAAGTGGTAGGAGGGTTTGAGAGGACTGACTCCATTATGAAAGAAGTTTTTCTGTGGGCAAAATGTTATCAAACAGCCTCTCAAACTAGAGTGAAAGCTTCTGTGAAAGGAAGAGTCATCAATGTGGCAACCTTCACTGTTGTCTTATTATAAAGAAATTTAAATTTCTACACCACCCCACCCTTCAATGGTCACCACCCTGAACAGTCAGCAGCAAGACTCTACCAGCAAAACAATTATAGCCTGGGCTGGCAGGTGGCATGGTGGTTAAGGTGCTGGACTCCCACAGGGCTGACTGTAGTTCATATCCTGGGCTTGGCAGCTTGCTTTCTCACTCTCCTCTCTCTCTCTCTCTCTCTCTGGTCAAATTGAAGAATAATAATAAATAAAATTAGATAAATAAAAAAAATGTTGACTCACTTAAGACCAAGATAATTAGAATTTATTAGCACTATTTTAAATTAAGGTATATAGGTTTTTTAAAACATAAATAATGCTATTGCACTTTAATAGACTACAGTTTAGTGTGAACATTTTTTTTTTTAATTTTTTGCCACAGGGCACATGTGCTTGCCAGTGAGAGACAGAGAAGGGAAGTGAGAAATCACCCCTCAGGAGATATGGTCACAGCAAAATCCTTTCTCCTCCATTCTCCTCTCAGGATTCTGGGCATGCACGCTCATATATCCGGTATGTTTTTCAAGCCACCGGGTCCCGGACTAGAACTGAGCTGGAGTTGGCCATGGGGGATCCACCCTCATCACCATGCCGCCTGCTGGCCCGCAAACGTAACTTTCATATACACGAGGACACCAAGCGCTGTGACTCGCTTTATTGCAATCTTCATTTGAGTACAGTTGTCTGGAGCGGAATTCGCAACTTCTCCAGTTTGACTCTATTGTTAAGGTGCCAATTCTCTCCCAGAGTGTATTCAGGTATTAAAAAATGTATTCAAAGTAATCCCTGTCAAAATTCCAAAAAGCTTTTGTGTGAAAACTGAGAAGCTGACTCTAAAATGCATATGCAAACAGTCAAGACAATCTTGAGAAAAGAAGAGTTGAAAAATGCACTCTCTGATTCCAAGGTTTACCATAAAGCTACTGCCATCAAGACGGTGTGACAACAGCATCGGGACAAACGGACACAGCTCTCCACATGTATGGCCATTTGATCTCTGTTAGACAGACACAGACACTAAATCCATGAGCAAGGGGGGCAGTCTAACAAACGGGAGGCAGGAGAAATGAAATCCTCACTAGACCCAAACTGAAGACCCACATCTCCATCAGGAAGGGGCTGGACAGACATGTCCACGCCCAGGCACTCTTCCGCCGTAGAATCGAGCCAGTCACTGGCCAGCTGTAGCGGCATGGGGCAGAAGCTGCAAGGGCCGACCTGAACACGCCAGGCATGGATGGCTGTGTGCCTCTGCAATTCTGGCCACTGGAAGGCTCATTAAAAACCAAACCGAACCAAACACAAGTCAGTTACTGACATGTACAACAACCTGGATGAACCTGCGATGCCAAGGAACCAGACACACACGCACACACACAAATCTGTATCGCCTCATTCCATTCATGTGAAATCCAACAAAAGGCAAAGGTAGACCAGTACTGGAGAGCAGAAAGCAGGCCCCGCTGGGACTGGCTCTGAGCTCCGGGTGGCCGCTAGCGGCCGTACACACCAGACTCTCGCCGAACGGACACCGGGACCTGGGGTCTCCCCCTCCCGCCACGTTCTCTCTCGCATACGAAATAAGCTACCAGATAACAAAACAAAGTACGTAGTGATTACATGCCACTGACACCAGGCAGGATGTTTCTGATTACAAAGACTTGAGTACCAGGGACCAGCAGGTGGCGTAATGGTCACGGCTCTGGACTTCCGGCAGTCGACCGTGGCTTGAGTGTCCGAGTGCCAGAGCTCGAGACTTCCGCCAGGTGTGTGCATGCGCACCCAAAGTCCCGAGAAGAGAATGCAGAAGGGATTGTGACATGGCCATCCCCCCAGGGGAATGATTTCCTGCTTTCTGTCTCTCTGGCAAGCACATGTATCCTATAGCAAAAAATCTATCTCTAAAAAAACAACAGAAGTGCTGGCTTTTTTTATTCCATCTCGCTGGTAGAAGTGTGAATTAGTATGACCACTTCGGAACATTGGAGTCACGTCCTATGTTTGAACGAGGGCAGAGCATAGAAAACACGTGCACATCCATGCACACATTCACCACAGCCATTTCTAAGTGGGAAACATACTCCATATCCATCAATAACAAAATGGGTTAAAATCAAAATTGGGGGGAGGAGGGCAGACAATGGCATGACGATGACACAGGATGCTCTGTGGGGTTCACATGCACGGGAAGGTTCAAGGTTTGCTTCCAGAGACCTCCCTGTACAAACCGAGCACACACATGCCCATGAGCTGGGGCTGGCGGAGGCCGGGGGTGGACTGTGGCATCAAGACCCTGCTGGTGGTGCTCTCTCTCTCTCTCGTTCACAGAAGAAATAAGTAAACTTAAAACCAAAACCAAGGTGTGGTGTGTGTATACGAAAGAATATTACACAGCAGTGAAAAAGAACTAGTCTGCTACCAACCTGCCTGAATGTCACCCCCATACAGAGGCTGCCACACAAGCATACACCTACATATGTGCACACACACGGAAGACACAGTACCATTTCATTTCCATGGAGTCCAAACAGGGAAACCGAACCTTATTAAAGTCCAGAGATGGTTAGCTCTGGAGGAGAAGAGGGACAGGAAGTGGGGAGGACACTGGTAACACCTGCTTCCTGATCAGGCTGTGGGATCCACGCTATCCACTTTGGGATGGTTCACTTGAGCTGTGTGGGTGTTTTGCGTATTTTGACGAATGCCTGTTTCACTTCAATAGACTCACTTAGAAGTTGAAGACCACAAAAACGCAGCCACAGGTCCCTGACTCAGGCTGTGTTTGCCTCACTGCTCCCCCAGGGGCAGGGTCTGTGAGTGAAGACGTGCCGGTGTCTCCCTGTGCTGTGGGGCTCCTCGGGTGACAAAGTGAGTCAAGTGTCCTCTGCTCGGCTCTGTGTCCCAGGCCCGGCCTCATCCAGTCCTTGCACACTCACCCCTGGACTGCAGCCCACGAGGGCTGTGGTCTGCACACAGAAGTGCTCTGGTGAGTCCCTGAGTGCACGGCTGGAGACCTGGGCCTGGATGGGACCAATGTGGAGGCCCCGGCAGGCATGCACTCCTAGGCCTCTGTAGTTACCGCAGCCCTGCCTGGGAGGGATATACTGCATCCAGCCAGACTGGCTAGTGGCAGATACCGCCGGGAGGATGCTGTGAAGCTCCTATGCCAAGGGGCAGAGGCATGCAGGGTGACTCTGGAGCTGTGAAGCTGGGGAAGCCGCTCTGTACCCACTGAGTCTTTCCAGGAACGGCCGCTATATGGGGGCCTACAACCCGCCACCTGCTGGCCCTGCTACCTCCATCCCTGACATGCAAACCTCCCGCGTGCGCCTTTAGTCTGGATTTTTCTTACACCTGAAGGATAACTGGTGTGCGTGTTTGGTAGACCTCAACATTCAAGATGAGATCCTGCCATTGCCCAAACCAAAACGCCTAGTTAAGCCTCCAGGCTCAAACCTGGGAGCTGCGTTTCCCCTCTAGGTGAGAGATGGGACGTTTATGCTAGACACAAAGGACCCCGAGCTGCAGAGCTGGGAGGAGAAAGGTGCGACCTCCACACCTCAGCCTGGCCCTCCACCAAGACCATGTGTCCTCTTCTGTTGTCTTTACTCCAACTGTAAAACCTCAACTCTAAAGAGCAGTGGGGGGCCAGCAGGTGGTAGTGAGGTTAAGGGAGTCTGGATCCCATGTGGCTGAATGCGCAGTTTGAGTCCTAGACCCAGTGGCTTGAAAAACCACACCAGGTGTGTGTGTGCGTGCCCACAATCCCAAGAGATGGATGGAGGACAAAGGATTGTGGTGTGGCCATCCCCTCTGAGGGGCGCTTCCTCACTTTTTCTCTCCCTCTCCATCTCTCTCCTCCAACTCTCTCTCTCTCCCCAGCTCCCGGCAAGTGTATATGCCCAACAGCAAAATTAAAAAAAAAAAAGAAAGAAGAAAAACAAGAGAGTGAAGAGCAGAGGGTGTATGTGAGGGGCCACGGAGATGCAGGAAGCGGCACCAGGCAGCACAGTAAAGCAGTGCCCCGAGCTTCACCCGTGCTCTTCGCTTGTCGCCAGAGGGCACACGCACTCACCAGAAAGACGGGGACAGAGTGCACCCCCGTGGGGTGTGGTCACGCCCCAACCCTTTCTCCTCCGGTTCTCCATCCATTAGGACTCAAACTGTGGTCGGCCACGTGGGACGGCCCATGCATAGCACTGGACCACCGTGCTACGGGGTGTTTAATTCACGGCAGCCCTGGCTCTCCAGAAGGCAGCCAAGTCACTAGGCAATAATCACGCGGCTTAAATACGGCAATGTATTTTTAAAGACCTCTAAGTAATATTTCAAAGATTTCGACACACACTGTCCTGTCCTGGCACACGGGACTGTCAGACCAGGTTTGCTGGAAAGAAGCCCCTGTCGACCAGAGATGGGACCCAGCTCATGTCAACTCACGGCTCTGAGACACGAACACGCCAGCCCTCCCTCGGGCACGGCAGCAGCTCCGCAGTCATTGAAGCTACTCTTCTGGCCCTGCCACCTTCCCCGAGGGTCTGTCATGTAAGTGGCACTGCCAAAGCCCTCGGACCTGGCTACGGGAGAGTCCCCAGGCCCTCCGCTCCGCCCTTCTCCGCAGGACTGGGCTCCCTGGAGGCCGTCAGAGTTCATTGTGCCGAGCTCTCGAGATTCTGCTGGAAAGATCCTGCAAATGCTTCTTTACCTGCAGACGGAAACATTTATCAGCTGAGGACAACAGGGCACAAATCCAGCTTTATGAGATCACTGCTCGAGACTAGAGACACAATCTCAAAATAAAATTTATGAGCTCTCTGCTTATCTTACTTCACAATTATGCACCCATCCAGAACCTGTCATCAATAAATGATAAAAGCAGCTCAATATTAACTGGAAAATGGCCACCAAAGAATATTAAAAACAAACAGCTAGGAGTAGGCCATACTGAAAAGGAGAATAAATGCTTTCTACTATCTACCCCATCATTTTCAAACGCGGGGAATGGAAACTGTGACTCAGGCTGAGTCTGGGGTGGGCGGAGGGAGGTGACCTCAGCACCACTGGGCACCGTGGGGCCTTCTCCACACCACCCCGGCAGAGGGTCGGGCCAGCCCTCTCCAGCTCTTTCCCAGATTCTGTCTCCCTGTTACTTCGCTGCTCAAGTCTCTCCTCACTGCCCACTGTGGTCCCTGCTAACCTCTACCCCACAGTGCCTCTACACTGTGCAGATTTTTTTAATTAAAGTTATTTCATTTTATTCATAATAATTATTATTTTTAATTTAACTGGAAACAGATAGAGAAAGCAAGCCGCCAGGTCTGGGACTTGAACCATGGTTGGCCATGTGGGAGTCCAGCGCCTTAACCACCACATCACCTGCAGGCCCCACTACACAGATTCCTTAACCAACACTGTACCTTCTTTCCATGGTCAGGTGAAGCTAGGCCCACACGCATAGTCCCTTTGTCAGAGCTAAGTTCTTCTCTGTAAACTCTCACCAATGACACTAAGTTCAGAATGAGCTTTCAGTGCCAGATGGCACCTGAACCACCAGGTGGCTAGCGTATGCCACTGCGCCCAGCTGGACACAGGCACAGAACCAAGGTGCCCTGTCCTCCTGGTCCTTCTGCCTTGCTTTACTTAATTCAAATGGGTAATGCCAGAGTTCAAAATTCAAGCGGCACAGAAGAGGCTCCCTCCCACCCTGCTCCCTCGAGAAGCACACAGTACTGCCAGATTCCAGAGCTGCCTATGCATCTGTGGCCACGTTGGGTCAGCGGCCTCTGAGCATGCCCAGACCCTCTGCTCCTCCTCCTACATCATCTAGCCCTGAGGCTGCTCCACAGGAAGGGCTGGAAGGCACTCTGATGACAAAGCAGCCACTCGGTGCCCACCGCGCCCTCATCTTGGACACAGGGGCTAGAAAACCTGCCAGCACACCTCTGAGGTCAGGAGGGACCCCACACCCATGGTGCAGCTGCAGGCCACCTGAAGATCGACCTGCCAGGGACAGCTCCACGGTCTGGCAGGCGGGCCAGGCCTGACAGAAGCCCTGAGCTCTAGGACAAGGCACCCGCCATTCCTGGAGGTGCCCTTGCAGCTCCCCGGGTCTGGGACCACAGCGGACGGACAGGGCACAACGGGAAGCGGGAGTGGCCTGGGCGAGAACGTGGCCCACCTTGTAGCCCAGCTCCTTGGTCTTCTCCTCCAGCAGGGCGTACTTCTCCTTGTTGCGGCTGATGTGCTCGCGGTCGCCGAGGCTCTCCACGTGCTTCAGCTTCTGGTGAGAGATCTCCAGCTGCTTCTGGTAGTGATTGTGCTTCTCAATTTTGGCTTCGAAGTGCTTAAGCTCCTCCTGGAATAATGCTTAAAAAACTTAATTTTCTGCCAGTGTGCTTTCCTTTTCTTTTTTTAATTACCTCCACGAGAAGGAGAAAGAGAAAGAGAAGCGGGAGACCCCAACGTGATCCTGACGCTGTGACGCACCCGCAGCCTCAGCAGCCCTGGGTCACGAGGACGCATGACCCACCACGCTCGGGAGGTCCTGGGATGAAGCCAGGACTGTGTCCGCGTGTCACGGCGACACTGCTGCCTGGCTTCTCCCCCAACAGGCTCTTAAAGACGTTCCAGGACCCCCGAAGGGAGGGGCCACAGACAGCAGGACAAAGGCCAGCTCTGGGGACCGCGAGTGGGGTCCTGGGTCCTGGGTCCTGTGCAGCAGCACATTTCAGAACGAGTGGCAAGAACCGACTTGCTCATGGTCTCCGGATGAAAGGGACGTCCGGGGCCGGCCGCTAGCTTAGTGGTTAAGGCGGCTGGATCCCGCATGGTCAACTGGGATTTGAATCCTGGCCCCAGTGGCTTGAGAAACATGCTGGTCACACGCGCATGCATGCCCAGAGTCCAACAGGATGTGAACGTGAAGATGGGGTCGCACAGGACATGTCCCTGGGGCGTTTTCTCCCTCTCCCCCTCCGGTGAGCCCTGTGCCCTCTGGCAATTTACAACAAAGCAAAGAGAAAAGGTCACCTGCCAGACTGGGGCCTGGGTGGAGGTCAGGCTCGCCGTGACCCCGACCCTGATGTGTGCCTGAGACGCCCCCCTCGTTGGCACCCAGCCCTCCCAAGCTGCTGGGTATCTAGTTCGAGCCCAGCCTGTCCCCCTTCTAGGGCAACACCCAGGGCTTGCGCTTCCATCATGGCTGCCTCTGCAGCTGCTCTGTCCCCTGCTCCATCCTCCCAGCCCCTGGAACGCATCTGGGACAGCAACCCTCGCTAGCACTGTCCCGACTCCTGGAGGTCGCCCTGCCCAATTCTGACCCCACGTTCACCTCTCTGCAAACCCACGGTCCCCCCATTTCACTCTATCTGGGGACCTGCTCTCAGGTGAGGTGCCCCAGCGCCAGGCGGAAGCCCTGACCCACAGCCACAAAAACTCCCAGCAATTCGAGGGCAGGACCATGCCCACCTAGCTCATAACAGACGTCCAGCGGCAGGGACCTTTGCTGAACTCACAGAGGATGAGCCCTGGTATCACCTCTTGGTTCCCGTTTGAGCCAACAACAGCTCCTCATAGGCCTCCCTGCATCCCACCTGGTCCTCACACCCTGGGCGCCAACACCGAGAGAACTCAGCGCGTCTCTGGGCTGACACCCCGTAGGCCTCTAGCACCTATCAGCTTGAGCTCCAGACTGTTCCACCTGCAGCAGGCATCTCTCCTTCTGGGCTCCTGTCGTAGGAAGTGGCAACACCTTGAAATGACCCCAGTCCTCCTCGCCAGCCCCCACACCCACTGGCCTGTGTCCTCCCCCTCAGTGAGCCTTTGTGGGGGCCACACGGCAGCTCTGTCAGAGCAGGACTGCAGCAAGGACAGAGCACACTGGTTTGCCACAGTCCCCACACCCAGATGACTGGGGCCACCTCCCTGCTCACAGCCCCTCCTCACACCCAGCACATCATGGCTGTGTGCTGAGCTGCGCCCCGCCTGGGAGACATGGGCACACGAGGTCCCTCCGGGCCGCGAGCCAGGCACCGGGCAAGGCAGAGTGTAAAACGGTCGAGAAAAGATATGAACCCGTTTACACTAAGACGAAGGAAGAAACAGGAGAACCTTATGGTCTGTGTCTTCCTCACCCGAAACAACTCCAGCTCCTTCTTGGTGAGGTTGGCTGCCTGGGCCAGGTCCCACAGGTCAATCACTCGGGGCTCCTCGAACTCTGTGGAGCAGAAGCAGTCTCAGGGGCCCTCGCAGCAACACCCGCCCCGATGCCGAGGGGTCCACCAGGCTGGCCCGGTCCCGCATGAACAGGAGTGAGTGCCTGTGTGTGTCACTGTGTGAGCGACTGCATGTGAGCACGGGTGTGACTCTAAGTACATGTGAAATGTCAGCGTGGGAGCGGTGGCGTGTGGCTGCATGTCAGTGTGAGTGAGTGTGTGAGCACAAGTGTGCACGGAGGAGTACATGAGGCTGAGTGACTGTGAGTGTGCGTGCGTGCAGGGCATCCAGCCTAGAGTTCACAAGACCCCGTTGGCACGTGGTCTCAGCAGAGCATGCGCTGCCCTGTGGTGACCATGGCCATGCCCCGTGGTGACCAGGAGCTGGTCCTGGCTGCCCTGCAGCAGGCGGGCTGGGGCGAGCTGGGGTGGGCTGGGGTGAGGGCGCAGTAGCTGTGAGAGCTCATGCAGGTGCTCCGTCAGGGACTTTGGTTCACCCACAGAGCCAGAGTGAGGCTCAGGATCCGATCTCTAGCTCCTGGCGAAGCGCAGGGACTGGTAGTCCCTTGACTTCTGTGGGTGCTCACCGGTGCGCCTCTCTCCAACCTGGGAGGAGGCCGGGAGCAAGCAGCCCACACAGCAAGCAGCCCACGGCTCCTGCTCCGTCGCAGCTCACCCCTTCCTGCCTAGGACCCTGGGGAAGGACCCTGGGTGCTGGAAGGACTAATAGATACTAGAGGAGAAACCAAAGAGCCAGCTGGACGCGGCTGCCTTGAAGGACGTGGTCCACGGGAGGGAGAGTGGGGGTGGGGCAGCAGGCAGAGCTGCCATTTGGTGCACTGGCCATGGGAAGGCTCGCTTGGGGCCCATCAGCACAGAGACTTGGCAAACCCTCAGAGTGGGCCTACGAGGTCCTACGGTCACCATCATAGCCAGAAGCCCTACAGGTGCCACCAATGCTGTGTCCACAGTCAGCTAGCCACATTTCGAGGTGGTACAGCCAACCACCACCACGGCAGGCTGACTGAGCCCCGCGACGAGGGGCACACAGGTGGCAGAGCCAGGCTGAGGGGAGCCAGGCATCCACTCCAGCTGGTCACCTTTCACAAGGCCTGCAGGCACTGTCCCTCCTGGGGAGGAGGAGATGGCCCGTGGGCAGAAGCCCGCCTGAGCAGCCAACACTGCAAGAGCAGGGATGCTGTCTCCTATCGGCTGCTGCATTCCACACCTAAAATAGGACCCAGCAGAGCAAGCAGAGGAGGAGCAAGAGTGAGATCAGACGTTGGGTGAGGGACAGTGGGCAGCGTGGTGGTTAAGGCGCTGGACTCCCACGGGGCCAACCACAGTTCAAGTTCTGGACCCGGTGATTTGAAAATCACTGTGGGCGCATGAATGTGGGTGCCTAGAATCCTGGGAGGAGGATAGACTATGGCACGGCCAGACACCCCTGGGGGGGTGACTTCTCACTTTCCTTCTCTTTGTCTCTCTCTGGTGAGCGCATGTGCACTATGGCAACAAAACAAAACAAAAAACAAAAACTAGGTGAGGTGATGGCCTGACCGACTCCCACTTCATGACGCACCGTGTTAGTGAGAAAGACACTTCGGTCTCAGCCTGTAAATGGTGCACGCACTACTGCAGCCTGAGCGGGCCCTCCTAACCGCCAAGAGAAGACTAGAAGTGAAAGGGACAGTGTGGGACTAAGGGCGAACCTGTGCCCGGCCGTCAAAAATAAGAGGGCAGCGGGCCAGTAGGTGGCGTAGTGGTTAAGATGTTGGACTCCCGCATGGTTGGCTGCAGTGCAAGGAAGGAGCCCGGTGGCTTGAAACTCACGCCAAGCACATGTGCATGAGCGCCCGAAATCCAGAGAGGAGAATGGAGAAGGGACTGCAGCATGGCCGTCCTCTCTGGGGGGTGAATGTGCACTTTCTGTGTCTCTGTGCCCTATAATAAAAATCTCTCAAATACATAAACAAGGGCAAGAGAACAGCTATGCACACATGTGCTTGCCAAGTCCGGAGACAGACTGAGAGCTGCCTGCCCTCTGGGGCCATTGCGGGCCTCACCCCAAGCCAATTTTGGGGAACAGGGCTGAAGAGGACAGATGAACAGATGTTTAGGAAGCAGCTCCTAGGAGCCTGCCTGGGTCAGTCCTCCTCTAACCAGACGAGAAGAGAGCACAGCAGGTTCCCGCCCCCATGGGTCCACGCGTCTGACTCCACGCTCTCGCCAGCCAGTCCTGCCCTCGGGAGCCCCCAGTCTAGCGCAGAGGTGGGCAGCAGACGCCGGGGCGTGGACACTGGAAGGTGGGTTGGCGTGACGCTCACCGGCCTCTGAGCTGTAGCCCTGGTGGCTGACTTTCCGCAGACGGTCCAGGCCCTGGTTGATGCTTCTCAGTTTGTCCTTCAGCTCGGCGTGTCGGCTGAGCAGCACCTCGCCCTTGATGTGGCTCAGGTCCGAGGGGCTGATGACGTTCTCGTGGATTTCTATGGGAACAGAAGCAGATGCCTGATGAGGACTGTCCCCAAGGGTCTGCTGCTGGGGACCCACCCGAAGCCAAGCAGCCCTGAGGCTCTGCCCCCACGCTCCGCCTACAGTCCACTTGCTGGACCATTCAAAGCGTCTCTCCTGCTTGTGGCTGCAAATACTCTCCCCTGCAGTTGGCCTCTGCAGCTCTGGGCAGTGGCAACCATGGTCATCATTTCCTGTCCCACCTGAGACGGGAGGACACACGCCCTCCGAGGGTGCCGTGTGGAGATGAGGCCTGTGCACCTAGAACCCTGGAGGCCGATTCCAGGCCGTCCCTGGAGACGCTGTCCCCACCTCCTTCTGTCTCCAGTTCCCTTTGACTCTCTCGGGTGGGAGCAGTCACATATGTGAGGAGGGTCCTGAGTTTAAAATGACGGGAAGACTGTGCTAGTCCAAAGGTAGCAGCTGCCCACCTGCTGGGAAGAGGGGACCAGTGATAGTGACAGAGACCACCTTGACACTTAAAGAGACATCTGACTACCAAATGCATGTGTGCAATTATTAAAAATGTCCCTTACTGGGACCAGCAGATGGCATAATGGTTATGTTGCTGGACTCCCATGTAGTTGACAGTAGTTCGAGTCCCGGACCTGGCAGCTTAAAACTCATGCTGGGCACATGTGTGCACATGACGAAAAATTTTGAGAAAAAAATCAAGAACGGACTGTGGAGTGGTCGTCTCCCCTAGCGGGTGATTTCTTCCTTTCTGTCTCTCTGTCCAGCACACAGGCCCTATAGCAAAAATCTCTCTCTCAAAAAAAAAGTCCCTTACCCTTTCCTGAAGGGTGAAATTCCTATTCACAAGACAGGGAAGAAACCTAAGAAATGGACATTAGGCATCGTAGGGGACAGGAGAGCATGAGGGAGCGGGGGCTCCACCGCCTTCGACGTGGAGGCGGAAGGCACCTTCAGTCCTGCTCAGGGTGTCTAGTAGGACGTTATACTCGTGCACTTTGTCTTTGTGATGCAAAAACTCCCGCCAGAGCTTGTCCAATTCTTCACTGGAGAATTTCCCAGAGGTCTTTGCCTAAGAGAGAAACAAGCCCTTGAGTGAACATCTCCTGAGAGCCATGTCAGCCACCCCTGGGACGGCTCTGTGCTTCCCTGAGGATACGGATATCCCTAGAGACGGGCAGGACAAGCCCAGGGCTATCACCACACACATGCGCGCGCACACACACACACACACACACACACACACACACACACACGGCAGAGGGCACAGCTAAGCAGAGGCAAGTCTAGTACTAGATACAAAGTAAAAAGTTCAGGCCATGCTTCATGATGATCCTGTGCAACTTCTCGCCACCCTACCATGAAGCACATTTAGTATTTGAAGATCTAACAGCTATAAGCCCAACAGAACTCCTTTGTTGAGGAATACTCTACACAGAGTACTTAAAGATACTCCCAGGAAGGAGAAAATGAACACAGAAAAGCACTGTGACCGTTTCACTAAGAAACCACTGTCTCGGGACCAGCAGATGGCATAGCGGTTACGTTGCTGGAACCCCACATTAGCCGACTGCAGTTTGAGTCCCGGACCCGGTGGCTTCAAAATCATGCCGGGCACATGTGCCTGCGTGCCCAAGATCCTGAGAGGAGAGTAGAGGAGAAGGGACTGCAGTGTGGCCATCCTTCTGGGGGGTGACTTCTCACTTTCCCTCTCACTGTGTCTCTCTCTCTCTCCGGTGAGTGCACGCGTCCTAAAGCAAAAACCTCTCAAAATAAATAATAAAAGAAACCACTGTCTCCCTGAGACATGCCCCACACAGGCAGAGGCTGATGGCTCTGCAAAATGACAGCAGTCCCCAACACAGGGTACGTATCTGGGAATTTACGGGACCAACGAGGTACCTTGTGCCACAACTTCTCCAGCCTGGGATCGCCCAGCTCGTCTTCCTGGTCACCGTCACCGATCGCGTTGCTGTTCACCATCTGTGCCTCCTTCTTCCCGGCCAGGCCGTACTTGGCCAAGATGACTGGGAGCGAAAGGGTGGGGTTAGTAATATGGTTTCCTGTGGCCGAGGGACAGGGGTGGGTGAGACAGGCTTGCTTCTCATGTTCTGGAAGTTTCCTGTCACCTGATTTCCAGGTACCACCCAAGGTCTGGAGGGAACGAGAATAAGCACACGTGGGGCCCCGAGTCTCAGGTGTTTACAAGTGTGGCCTGCAGCTCGCAGGTCGGCCCAGACAAACCTGCCGGTGAGTCCCGCCTCTGCCTGCGTCTCTCTGAAGCCTGAGCATGCAGCTGCGGTAAAGCATCGGTCATCTGGTCTCTGTACAGACCAGTCATACAGACTGTTAGACACTGAGCAGAGGCTAGCAGGGGGCGTGGTGGTTAAGGTCCTGAAATCCCATATGGTCAACCACTGGTTTGAGTCCTGGACCTGGAGGCTTGCTTTCTCACTTACTTTTTCTTTCTCTTCCTTTCTCTCTCTCTCTCTGATGAATTAAAAATAGTTACAATGAAAAACAAACAATTCTTAAAAAAAAAAAAAAAAAAGTGAATACTATTTGGTCATAAGAATGGATAAAAAATTTTATAAAATATTGGGCAGGTCCCAGGGAGTTCAGGGCAGTACCAGTCCACTGCTGGACACAGGGTCATGGTGGGAAGCTTTGTGAAAATCCAAGTCTATCTGGAAGGGAAACATTTTCTAAAGGAGAAATATCAGTGTCAGTAGTTTCTAATAAAAAGTTGCCAGTGGGAGCCAGGATGGAAACTAGTAACTAGTGTGCTGCAGCCCAGCCCACATGGGTGTGTGTGTGTGTTTGTGTGTGTATGTGTGTGTGTGTGTTGGGGGGGATTCTGGATTTCACATCTCCGTAATTCCTCAAGAGACAGGAATCTACCATGTAACAGCCCTTTTCCTACAGAGGCTGAGCCCCTGCATCACCAGCCAAAACGGGAGGTGGTGCTGATGGGCGACTCAGCTGTCGAGAGGCATGACATTCGGGAACACCGCCGACAGGGTCTGGGGTCTGTCTCACCGTGTCCAAGGACATGGCTCCCCAGGAGGGGCTCTGCAGGACAAGCCCCCTGCTGGGTCTCCCTGGGAGGTCCCCGCTCCTGCCAGCATCTCTATGCCACATCCACCTGTCCAACCAAGCCTCCCCTCTCAGGAGGAAGCGGCCCCATCTCCTGCAGAACCCGGCTTCTCTGTCCCGTCCAGGGCCTCCTGGGGCCCTCCCTGGCTCCCAACCCCATCCTCCCTCGAGGCGAGTAGGGAGTTTCCACTGCACTGCATCTCTCTCATCCTTCAGGACCTGGGCCATACCTGCTGCCCACTCTCAAGTCTTTGGAAGCCTCACTCCCCTTTCCTAAGTCTGCACCTTCAGGGCCTTGGAACAGTTTCTCCTTCTACCCAGAAGCTCGGACCACTGGGGATCTCTAGGATGAGCTGAGAAGCGAGGGTCCTGGTGTTCTAGTCGTGGGTGTGCATGGTTTCCCTAGATGCTCACGACCAGTCTGTGGACTTCTCAGTAAACCAGAGAAAGCACCTTTACCGACAGCCATGGTGCTGGGCGTGGGCCGCACGGGCGCACACATGCACGACTCATCTGGACCTCCCCGTGTCCACTAAACAAAGAAACGAACACACAGAGACCGCCTGGATGCTGCCTAGTCTCAAGAGGGCACTTGGAAAGCCTTCCTGACTGGCTCCCCGGAGTCCTGTCCAGCAGCTGGGACTGTGGAAGGTTTTGGATTCTGGGGGCGCTGGCTCTGCATGACACTAAATCTGGAAAAGGGCTTCGAGAACGTCAGGCCTCACTTCTGTGTACAGATAAGGGGGCCTTATAGCTCCCTCAGGGCACAGACAGCACCATCCACACGAGGGCGCCCTGCTGGGGAACATCTCAGAGCAGCAGGGACAGGAGCGCCTCGGAACTGAACCTGATTACGTGAGATAAAGGTGATAAGGCTTGGTCCCTAAGAGGAGGTGGCCTGGCATGGGTGACCAGAAGTCCTGGCAGGCCGAGGGCATGCCAGGGCTATGGTGAGCCCCCAGGGTTATGATCAATCATACCCTTTTCCTAGCCTCAGGATGGGGGTCTGGACACTGCAGCCTTGAGAATGGCCCAGGGGACGGAGAGCACGTGGGGGCCCGGGGCCCAGGGCCCATAGAGGGCTGTGGCCTGTGTGCACAGGGGCAGCAGCAGCTCAGTGGGCCCTACATCCCAGGAGCAAACCTCTTTCTCGGAAGGGCCTGCTTCTGGGACACCGGCTCTTAAGAGTATCACTAAGTCACTTGGTGCCAAGAAAGCAGAGGACAGAGGTGACCCCACTTAGGCTGGGGGCCTGGGCTCCCCAGTCCGGAAGCTACCCCAGCAGACACGAGCACAGCAGTGGGAAGACAGTCACTGGCTCACCCCTCTGCCCTCCACGCCCGCTCTGGGCCCCGCTCCCCTCCACCTGGGGGTGGTTTCTCTGGGAAGGATGATGGACTTGGCTGCTCAGACCCCTCCACACTGCCCAGGGTAAGTCCAGGGTGGGCTCTGCCCTGGCCCTTAGGAGTGGCTCCCAGAAATGCTGGCTGAGGAGCCATCACTGCAAACCATTTGACAGTCCCTGTCACTGTGTCTGGTTCTTTCTCCTTAATGGAGGTTTTTGCTAGAGCACATGTGCGCTCGCAGGGGAGACAGACACAGAGGGACAGAAAGTGAGGATAGCCATGTTGCAATCCCTTTTCTATTTTCTTCCTAGGATTTTGGGCATGCATGTACACATGCCCAACGTGAGTTTCACGCCTCTAGGTCCAGGACTTGAACTGCAGTTGGCCATGTGGGAGTCCAATGCCTTAATCACGCTGATGCTACCTGCTGGCTCCACACCTTGGCTTTTTAATGTTCCTTCCGCGTTTTGAAACATGGCCACATAAATTCGGAGAACAAAGTCAGAGCGTGCCTCTACCCCAGATGCTGCTGCGCTCCATGTCTGGTGGCATCTAAGCACCTGGAGAAGCTGGGCTGCTGGCAATGGGGCCCGTGCTGTGCGCCTGCAGGCAGATTACTGCCCTTGAGCCTGCCGGGTGGGTGGCAGTCAGTGCCTCGGCGTTTTGAGGAGTGAAGCTACAGCACGAGGCCTAAGGGAGGGACTCTAAGGCAGCTCCCGTTACTGTGGACAACCTGTATGACTGTCGCGTGCCTGAGGAAGCCAGTGTATGAAATGACGCGTCACCCCACAGACTTGAGGATGCTTGTGACAGCAACAGGGACCACTGTAACAGCAACCCCCCCCCCAAAAAAAAAAACCCCTCCAGCGGCCTCCTGCAGGGACTGTTCCACTTGGCTCAAGACCATCCTATGAGACAGGAAGAGGTGCCTCCAGAGTGCCAGGTCACACATCGGTGGCAGTCGCGTCAGGGACCTGACTGCTGCTCACTCGGAACCAGCCCTCTACCCACAAGTGCCCTGGCAGTGGGGAGGGTGGCAAGGAAGGTGGACCCCGAAGAACAGTCACAGCTGCAGCTTTAAACGCTCGTGTCTTCTGAATCCCGGCACCCAGACAGGCAGCTGCTCTGCCTTCACAGCCACATCACACATCTCGGGCCGCTGAGACTGTTACAGCACTTCCCAACACCCGAAATCTGCCCCACCACCATACTTCTTCTTCTTTTAAATTAGGGTTGTTTAATAAAGCATGAGACAGTGAGCTTATTAAAAAAGTCACGAAGTACAAATCAGGCAGGTACAGTGATTTCCTGAGGATTTCTTTCCTAATCGTATCAAACTTTTCCTTGTTGCAACGTGAACTACTAGAAAATGTACAGAGGCAGTCCTCTGTGGGCATTTATTAAACCGTACAACATTTTAAATTGCCAGGCCACGAGATTCAACCTGGTGAGACTTACTTACGTAAAAGGGGAAATCTACTTCGAATACAGATCATAGATCACAGATCACCTGTATTTGTTAGATTTGGGGAAGAAAATCAGCTTTTTGGTTAACAATGAGGTGAAGCAGGGCACCTGCTTATCTGATAACTTCTAAATGTTGGGGACAAACCACTTCCTATTCTGGGTGACCGAGCACCCCACCACCCCCAGTCCAGCAGCAACTCCGGGCCTTTGGCTGCTTGTGCTATGCATGCACCCAGAGCACCCGCCCTCCCTCCAGTCTGTGAACAGCACTCATTGACACCGCAGAGGCACTGAGACCCCGGGGTGTCTGTTCTCACATGTGAGCATGACGCAGGCTGTGCCCAACAAACGGCCCCACCCTCGTCCTGGTCAAGAGCCAAGTCAGCACCCCGAGGCTTCCATAGTAAAGGGAAGAGGTACCGTTGAGATTGCGTATAAGTTTTGCTTCCTTTTCCCCATCTTCATCTAAGCCTTCGACCTTCAGTTTCTTCCAGTTGAGCTCATCCCTCTCTTGTATCTTCAGGTCAGCATGGAGCTCGGCCAGCTTCACAGGAGAAAGATGAAGCTGCCAGTGAGAACAGAGGACCACGTCACATCCAGCTGCAAAGGCCGAGGACACAGTCCGAGAAGCTGGCCTGGGGTGGTGGTGGCTGGGAGGCCCCAAGAGGCAGAGCTGGTCACCGACAATAGGACTCCAAGCCCTACGCGTGCTCAGGGCCGAGCACTGCAACCCGTGCCAGCCGTCCCTGTGCAGAGCGTTGGCCGACACCAAGCCCCACGTGTGCTCAGGGCCGAGCACTGCAACCCGTGCCAGCCGTCCATGTGCAGAGTGCTGGCTGACACCAAGCCCCACGTGTGCTCACGGACAAGAACCACAACCCATGCCAGCCGTCCGTGTGCAGAGCGCTGGCCAACACCAAGCCCCACGCATGCTCATGGATGAGTACCGCAACCCGTGCCAGCTGTCCATGTGCAGAGCGCTGGCCGACACCAAGCCCCACGCGTGCTCATGGATGAGTACCGCAACCCGTGCCAGCCGTCCATGTGCAGAGCGCTGGCCGACACCAAGCCCCACACGTGCTCAGGGACGAGCACCGCAACCTGTGCCAGCCGTCCGTGTGCAGAGCGCTGGCCAGACCCTTCCAAAGCTGTGATCTAGCAACCCCAGGTCTGCACGGGAGCTCCGCAGCTATCAGCGACTGCCATTCATCCTGAGCACCTGGGGAATGGGGTGGGTAGGAGGAGGCAGGGGCTGAACGAGTGGCTGGTGAAGAAATCTGTTATGTTCTCCCTACACTATGCAACTACGCTAAGAAAATACAACTGCTAGAGAGGAAAGGTTGAATTTATGAGTAAAACCTTGAAAGTCCAAGCTGAACCCAAACCCAGGCATACCTATGGCCACCCCAGGACACTGGCCACTACCAAGGCAGAAACAGAGCCACGTAGGGCATGTCCCTCAGTGTGGACCAGACTGCCCGTGGTATCTTGAGCTTAACAAAAAAGAACAAACTAGTAAGTCTCTTTAAAAGAAAAAATAAATCACTGTAACTTCAGATTTGCACCATGAAATCAACTGATCAATCAATCCATCAGGATCCTATCTAGTAGCTATCAGTCAATCAATCATGATCTTTAACCAACCCCAGGATACTTTTCTCTTTTTTCGCAGTTTTGCTATAGAGCGTGTGCACTTGCTGGAAAGGAAAGGAGAGAACATTCCCCCCTCCTGCTCAGCCACAGAGGGGACAGAAAATGATCCCTCTTCTCCATTCTCCTCTCGGGATTTGGGGCACACACGCACACGCACACACACACATGCATGTGTGCATGTGCACACACACCTGGTGTGTTTTTCAAGCTGTCAGATCTGGGACTCAACCACACAGCCGGCCATGTGGGATCCAGATGCCTTAGCCACCATGCCACTAGGTGACCCACCCTGAGACATTTCTTAAAGGGACTCTGGATCCTTCTGGAGTAGGAAGGATCACCTGTTTCTCTGCTTGCGAGCAAACAGACGGCAGGTGTGAGCCCTAACTGCTGCGCCTGCCAGGCCATGGTGTCAGGGGAGAGGGGAGCCACTGCATTGGGGATCCCTCAGCAGGGCAGGTCACTGGGCGTGCTTCCTTATCTCAACCTGACCCCACCCAGCTCTGAGCCTGGGGGCCAGGGAACCAAGGCGGGGTAACCCCAGACATGCTACTCTGAAGTTTTTTGTTTTTACTTTCTGCTATAGGGTATAAGTGCTCACCAGAGAGACAGAGAGAGGGAAAGGGAGAGATCACCCCCTGGGGGGATGACCACACCACTCTCCCTTATCTATTCTCTCGGGGTCTGGGGCATGCATACCCATGCACCTGGCATATTTTTCAAGGTGCCAGGCTCAGGACTTGAACCACATAGTCGGGCATGTGGGATCCAGCAACTTAGTCATCACACCACCTGCCTGGCCCCACTACTTATATGTTTTTAAAAGATGGAGTTGAATAGTAGTTTCTAAAGCCATAGCAAAGTGTCCCATGCATAACAGATCAGAACGCCACAGAAGAGAGCAGAAGGACAAACAGGTTCTGGTTCTGACCCAGCCTCTAACAAGCCTGCACTGGGCAGCCGCATGCTCCAGTGAAGTGCAGGTCCCTCTGTATAAAGCAAGTGGCCAAGATCTGTGTGAACCAGCATCTGTCACAACAGCAGACTGGGATGCACCGAGACCGGGTCCTGTCGTCAGCGAAGTGGGAAAGGCTGCACACCACGCTCGCTGTGTAAACTGCATGTTTAGAGCCTCTGAGAAGTCCTGCAATGAAGGGACCTGTCAGCACTGCTGAAGTCCAGAGTCCCAAATCTACTCCCTTGGGACCTGCCTTCTTGGGAGTGGACTGCTGAGCTGTGCCTTCCCTGGGGCTGGTCCCCCCAGAGCCATTCTGTGGCTCCAGGAGGGAGCCAGCTCCTGCTCCTCTGAGCTCTCTCCAGAGGCACTGGCTGGAGCTGCCCCAGACACCTGTGTCATGTGTGACGGTGCTTGTTCAGGATGGCCGCTTCTTCCGCAGTGGTTTTAAACATTAACCTTTAATCTGGGTTCATTTACAAGAGAGGCGAACATTCTAAGTATGAGTTATATTTTAATAAAAAGTTTACATAAAGAGTGAGCATGGGGCCAGCAGATGGCACAATGGTGAAGTCACTGGACTCCTACATGGCTGACTATGGTTCGAGTCCCAGACCCAGTGGCTTGAAATTTAATTTATGCTGGGCGTGTGTGCATGTGTGCCCAAAATCCTGGGAGGAGGATGGAGAAGGGATTATGGTATGGCCATCCCCCAGGGGATGATTTCTCACTTCCCCTCTCACTATCTGTTTTTCTCTCTCTCTCTGGTGATTGCATGCACCCTAAGGCAAAAACCTCTACCAAAAAAAAAAAGTGAATAATTGCAGGGTTAGCAGGTGGTTTGGTGGTTGAGGTGCTTGATTCTCACATGGCTACGGTTTGGTGGCTTGCTTTCTCACTTTCTCTCTCTCTCTGGTGAGCATACGTGTCCTATAGCAAATTAAAAATAATAATAATAATAATAAATAAAATTAAATAAATAATTCTGAAAAAAGTGAATAATCGCTGGGGCTAGCAGGTGGTGTGGAGGTTAAGGCAGCTGGATCCCACATGGCCGACTGCATGATTTGAGTAAAGGACCTGGCAGCTAGAAAATCACACAGGGTGCGTGCGTGTGTGTGCGCCCCAAATCCTGAGAGAATGGAGGGGAAAGGAGAAAGGACTGCAGCGTGGCTGGACCCCGCTGGGGAGCCATTTCTCACTTTTCTTCTTTCTCTCTTTCTGGTGAGCATACCTGCCCTTTAATATGAGGAGGGGAGGAGGAGGGGGAGGAGAGGGCTTGGGGAGAGAGGGCTAGGGGGAGGGAGAGGAAGAGGAGGAGGAGGGAAGGGAGAGGAGGAGGAGAGGAAGGGGAGGGTGAGGGTGAGGGTGAATTTCAGGCCAGCAGATGGTATGGAAGTTAAGGAGGCTGGATCACACATGGCTGACTGCATGGTTTGAGTCCCAGACTCTGTGGCTTAAAAAACACGTTGGGGAAAAAAAACACGCTGGGGGGCCAGCAGTTGGTGTAATGGTATGTTGCTGGGCTCCCATGTAGTCAACCATGGTTCAAGTCTTGGACCTGGTGGCTTAAACTCACCCTGCACGCGTGTGCGTGCGTGCCCAAGATCCCAAGAGGAGAATGGAGAAAAAGGGATCACGGCGTGGCCATCCCCCTGGGAGGTGATTTCTCACTTTCTGTCTCTCTGTCTTTCTGGCGAGCACACGTGCCCTATAGCGAAAACCTCTCAAAAAGAAAAATGAAGAAAAACAACAACAAAAAGAAAATCACACTGGGTGCGTATACATGTGTGCCCAAAATCCCAAGAGGAGAATTAAAGAGAAGGGACTGCCCCTGAGGGGTGGTGATTTTTCACTCTCTGTCTCTGTCTCCAGCAAAGCCCATGAGCTCTATAGCAAAAAAACAAAAAAGTGAGTAATCACAGAAATATGAAGTTAAGACCCAGCCGCCCTCCCAGTGTACAGTCCACACTGCCTGGCAAACCTGCGGAGGGTGGGCGACTCAGACCTCTCACATCAGCACATGGTAGGGCAGCTGCGTTTCCTCCGAGACTCAGAGGAAGCCACTCTGTGGCCGCTCCATGCCCGCGCTGCCCTATTCAGGCTGAGCCCTGTCCCTCCACCTGTGCAGCTCCTTCCCCTGTGTCTCCGAAGCTCGCGGGCCTGTGCAAGGCCAGGGACTAGGAGATTCCCTTGACCACAGGCCCCAACCTCTCGGGGAGTTTGAGACCCAGCTAGGGTAAAATTCAGACCTCTGAGCTCGTGCCCCAGTGATAGAAGATGCCACGGTAGTCCCCAACTGAACGGCAGGTCTAGGGCAGGGAAGAGCCTCCGACTCTCCGAAGTTCCTCTGGACCTGCCCTATGGGGCGCAGGCCCTGGCCTGGGACTCTCCTGGTATGACTTCACATCCCCCACCTCTCCAGATCTCACTTCCATCTTCTCCAACCCTGGAGTCCCTGCCTCTGACACAACATGGGGGAGCCCGTGGCTACACAGGAAGGACCTAGCCACACCTGTCCAGCTCCTTCTCACCCTGAACTCTGCTGGTGTCGTGGGATGCCTCTTTTTTTTGATTACTTGCTTTTTAAATTTATTATTATTTTTTTTTTAATATGACCAGTGAGAGAGAGAAAATGAGAAAGCAAGCTGCAAGATCCGGGACTTGAACTGCAGTCAACCATGTGGGAGTCCAGTTCCTTCCCCTGTGTCTCCGAAGCTCGCGGGCCTGTGCAAGGCCAGGGACTAGGAGATTCCCTTGACCACAGGCCCCAACCTCTCGGGGAGTTTGAGACCCAGCTAGGGTAAAATTCAGACCTCTGAGCTCGTGCCCCAGTGATAGAAGATGCCACGGTAGTCCCCAACTGAACGGCAGGTCTAGGGCAGGGAAGAGCCTCCGACTCTCCGAAGTTCCTCTGGACCTGCCCTATGGGGCGCAGGCCCTGGCCTGGGACTCTC